AGGCGTTTAATATACTTTTTATTGTTAAAAGACAAACTATTTCATGCTAAAGTTGAAGCAATTAAAGTAAATTAAATATTCGGTTAATGTGAGAACAATCCATGTATCTTGACAATGTTTATGAAAAGGAACAATAATAAATTATTAGTAATAGTTGAAATAATATACATTTTTTTTATAAATTATTAATAGTAATAAATTTTTTTATCATTATGTGTACTGTGAATATGAAATATGGTTTTATTATGGGTGACAATTCTCAACACGAACCCGACACGAAAATAAACATGTTTGAGTTGAGATTTCTGACTCGTCAACTCGTTAACCAGCCAGATAAATGGGTCATGTTGGTATTTGGGTTTGCGGGTCAACGTTAATTTTTTTTAAAGGATATTACCGTTTTAGAATAGACTCCCCCGGAGGTGGTTCACTATTTGGTAAAGACATGGACACGTTTTGTCTTTGCATTTGCAAGCGTTGCTACATAACCCCCTCTTGGCCACCCTGGAATGAGTCTTGAGTAGATTTGAACCCAAGACCTCCTTGTGAAAAATTCACAGTATAATATATTATATTTATATCTATCTAAATATCTTATAATAGAAACATTTTTCTAAGCACCACATTGATTTGAAACTTCTTTGTCTTTTCATATTCTCAAATGACTTTTTTTTAAGTTATGTGACTATGCCTATCAGCCTACGTGTACGTGTTGCATGCCCTAAATCAAACTAATCCTTACTATTACACAAATAATATTTGGGTTCACGGGTCAATTCGCAAACTCACCGACCCGAATCTGACCCACGAACCCATATAACTAAACGGGTTAGACGGGTCGTGTGCGGGTTGATGTTTCCAATCCGCCAACCCGTCACACGAATAATTATATGGATTGTGTACGAGTTGATGTATTCTGACTTGCCAATATTTATTTTTAAAAATGTTTTTATATTTTATGTATTTTTAAGTTTTTAGGTTTTTTTTATTTTTTTTATTTCATGTTATGCTTTTTATTTTATATTTTTTAAGTTTTTATTTGAAGTTGTTTCTAATTTAGATTAACGAAATTGAAGTTTCTTGTTTAAATTGTTGAAAAAAATAATAATATCATGGTCACCACTCCTTATGTGAGACAAGAAGCCATAAAAAAAAGACAATAAGGTGATGCTTATATGGAATGGAAAAAATATAGTAAATGTGTCATCATATGGAATAAAAAAATGGTAAAGGTATCACAACACCTTCGGTCTCCAACCTTTTTTTTTTAACTGGCATCTGGTCTCCAACCTTATGATTAATAATTGAAAAATATTAAAAAAAAAAAATCAAGAAATACGCTACTACGTCAAAATCAATGTTTATCGGATCTCGGATGATTGGAAATTATTCTTTGAAAAAAAAATGTATATATGATATTAATCTTCCAACGCAAAATTATAAATGTGAATTAAACCAACTCCCAACGGAATTGGACAATTGGTGATTTGGTGGGGTCGTAATCGGTGACCTTGACGACTTCATCAAGTCTTCTCTATTTTGTATATCATAATAAATAAAATATAGTTTTAAAAGAAAATTACGTTTTTTTTATTTAGATTCTTCTGTAGGCAGGTGGTGGCAAATCTAACCAACATAATTGAAAATGGACATGCTTGTAACTATTACTATTAGATTTATTAAATAATTATTAATCGTAATCTTTTTTGGTTTGATGTCATATTCAAAATTAGGGATGCAAATTGGACCCGTGGATTCGGTTACCCGTGGGGACCCGAACCTAACGGGGCGGGGATTCCCTGTCTTGATTGGGTAACGGAGCGGGGACGGACAAGGTACTAAAATTTTTCGTTAAGGAAATTGAAGACGATTGTACCATCCTAACATATCAAAAGAAGAAGATGAAATTCATGTAATCAATGAAGTAGAAGACAACGATGCATTTGCAGAAACTGAGGATGATGATGACGATATATTCAGTCATCATGTTGGTAGTTTGAAGAAGGGATTTAAGACATGCAAAATGGAGTTTTAGATTAGACGAAGCTTTTATGAAGGGCTCTTACCCAGGCCAAATCTAATTGTAGTTGTACGTTTTGCATTAATTTTTATTTATTTGATCTTTGTAGTTCCTAGTCATGAGTAACCCACTTACTAAGCAATATATTTCATAGTGTTGACCCAAATAATTGTATCTACCCCATGGTCTATGCCATAGTTAAGGTGGAAAATACAAATTTGTGGACACGATTTTTGTTATGCTTAGGTTAATAATATCAAACTTCACTTTTGTTTATGATAGTTAAAATGCATAATTGTTTTAAATATATGTAAATATTACTCTTGTTAATTATAAATGAAATTATTTCTAACTATTTTATTATTTTATGGAGTAATCTTAGTAATTACAAACCCTTTCCATGTGCAAATTACATGTTTTACTTATGACATATTCATAAGAATAAGGTCAACTGGAAAAGACAATGTGTATAAGGAACTACTGTGGCAGTAGGCTACAACATGCTATATGTAACATTTTAATGGTAAAAAGGATCTGAAAAGGTTAAACAATGATGCATATGAATGGTTGAAATAAATCTTCCTAGCACTCACATTTCTCATGTATTGTTTATTTTGTTAGTATGCATATAAATTAGGTTCAAGTATTAGACCATTTAGAATTACACTAATATTATAATACATGTTTTGGCGTATCATATTATGATGTGCAACTAAATACTATGTGTGAGGTGCTGAAGAGTGAACTAGATGATGGAAGAGACAAACCCATCATCATTGCACTAAAGTTTATCCGTGAGTACTTGATGAAAAAAATTGCAAATATGGAAAAGGTTATAATGAAGTGGAAGGGACCACTAACACCATATGGTACAAAGCTCATGGTCATCAAAATAGAACTTTCCAAAGTACAATGTTGTATTTATTCATGGGTAAAAGTACTTCCAAGTCACATTTCATTTGCATGATCAATTTGTGGTTGAGATGAAGGAAAGGTCTTCCTCTTTCAGAAGGTGGGAAGTAGTAACTGGGATGCCATGCAAACATGAAGTGACCATAATATGGGATTTGGGGAGGAACAAAGCATGTGATAGTAAACCTGAAAGATGGACACATCCAATTTATTGGTTGGACACTTGGAGGCATATGTATCATTTCAAGGTACACCCAATAAATGGCAGGAGTAATTAAGTGGACCAAGCCATTATGCCCAACCATTTTGATCCCACCTTATCACTGCAAACATGTTGGAAAGCTTAAAAGGACGAGATAGTAGGGAGTTTAGAAAGCTATTAGAAACTATGATGGTGAGGATATGGTGAAAATTTCAAGTTATTAAGACAAGGTATGTAGTAAAATGCTAAAAAAATGTAACAATTTAGATTATAATTAACTTGTAAGGGAAAGCATGGTACATTTGTAAGTGGGAGTAGTTCTAGTTTAAGGAAAAAACGTAAGGACTAGTGCAAGTACCCGGTATTAGTGAATCTAAAATCCACAAAAGGGTAAATACGTACACTTCTGCAAAACTTAAGGGTTTTTATGTCATTATTTCTTTAATATATTACTCATGACATGTTTTGCCTCACGTTATGGCTTATTGTCATTTTGACTTAATGATTTTCTTTGCTCTTAATGTTGTTAAGTTTAGTACCTATTTATGTCATTTTTAGTTTCATTGTTGGCTTAATAGCAATATGCCTAATCATGGCAATTTTTGTCTAAAAAGTTCTCATACCAATATCTCATGTTTTGCTTTCAGTTTTTGCTTAATAGAATTATTTCTTATTTTCCATGGGATTTGTGTGTACAAGTTTTTTTGTAGAACCAAAATTACAGATGGTCAATTGTGTCAATAAACAAAAAAATTGACGATCAACAAACCAAAAAAGTTGATGATCAACAAACCAAATTCATTACCAAAAACATTACAATTGCATATCCATTACAAACCAAAATTGAATGACTAATCAACGTTAATATAGTACTTAGGTCATTGTAAAAAGTAAAAACAATTTCTTAAGGCAAAGACCACTTCCATAATTACGGTCATTGCATAATTCAACCCTAAGCTTACAAATAATATATATATTTTATTTATTTAAAACCTTTAACTTACTAAATAAATAAAATGGAGAGAAAAGGGATGGAAGTGGGTGTGGTTACTGTGGCCTTCGGTGAATAGATACCGTTGGGAAGGGAAAAGATAAGGAACGATGCTTGCAATTTTGAAATCGCGTGGCCTGAAAAAGAAAAAGACAAAAAAAAAGAAAAAATCAAAGGACTTTTTTTTTTTTTTTTTTTTTTGCAATTTTCTCTGCTTAAATAAACTGAAAAGGGAATAGTTTATTAATCAAATTAATGAAATACGTAAATATAAAATATCCAGATTAACCTGATAAATGGTATTTGTATCACATATTGATTAGAAATCACGAATCTATCATTATGTTAGATAATTAATAATTATTAGAAAAATAAGAAATAAGGCACTACTATGATATGAACCCCAATGATATTGATGCCTTGTCGTTAGGGTCGTAGTCGGTGACTTGGACGACTTCATCAAGTCTCCTCTATTTTGTATATCATAATAAATAAAATATAAATTAAAATACACAACTAAAAAGAAAATCTTTTTTTATTTAAGTTGTTTTGTAGGAAGGTGGTGGTAAATTTAACCAACCTGAAGATGGACATGTTTATAACTATTAATAGATTTGTTTTTTAATTATTATTTGTAGTCGTTTTAGTTTGATGTCATGCTCAAAATCGATTATGATTAATCGTCTATACGCAAAAAGTCTTTTGATTCATTTAATGGTTGGGAATATTCATAAACACGTTATTTGACTTGTAAAATTATTATAAAATTATTATAAAAGTATAAATGCAATACCCTTTTGGTTCAGAGTTAAAAAAAACGATATATTTCATTGAAATATAATATAATACAATTTAGAAATGGAAATTCACATAAATTAATTAACATTTTGTGAAACTAAATTAGGAGTATCGATCTGAGCCAACATAACCCTACAATCCTTACTATTCGGCCTCTCTTTTGGATTATCCAATGTACAGAAACACGCAATCTTAAGAACAAGAAGCATTTGTTCCTCGTATCCATTTTCCAAAAGGCTTGGATCAATCGCTTCTTTCGGATTATCCGAAGTCATCACCTTCCTCATCCATTTCACCAAACTAACTTCCGATGTGTGCTGAAAAAAATCATCAGATGGAAGCTTTCCGATCACCAGAACTCCCAGCAACACACCGAAACTGTAAATATCACATTTATCTGTAAACTTCATCGTTTGATGATATTCCGGTGCTATGTACCCTAAAGTCCCTGCAACATTCGAACTTGTCATGTGTGTTTGGGCTTCAGGTATTGATTTTGCAAGCCCAAAATCAGCAATTCGAGCTTCCATGTCGTCATCAAGGAGAACATTTGCAGGTTTTAGGTCACGGTGGACTATACGAGGGGTGTGGCTCAAGTGGAGATATTCAAGCCCAGATGCAACACCAATGGCGATTCTATGCCTTGTGGGCCAGTCGAACTCTCGTGTTCCATTGTTAGCCTCCTGTATGATGTCTTGTAAGCTGCCGTTTTTCATGAACTCGTAGACTAAGTAATGGCAGGTTGGTCGGGAAAGGTGAGCCAGTAATGGGAGAAGATTCCGGTGGCGGATTTGGCCGACGGTTTGGATTTCGGATCGGATTTGGCGCATTTTTTTGTTGAGAAGTTTTGTGTCTTCTTCGGTGAGCTCTGCTGCGTCTTTTGGAGCTTGTATGACTTTTTTTATGGCGATTGTTTTGATTTTTCCTTCTGGGATATCTGTTTTGTATACTTCTCCACATCCGCCTCTTCCGATGACTTGCAGTGCTGCTACTGCTTCGTCGTCATTTAGAAACGCCAGCTCCTCCGCCTTGATCGATTGACTGAAAATCGCCGGACCGGATTCTTTCCCTCTAGTTTTGATCAGGATTACAACCAGTTTGAATATCACTGACATGATAATCGCGGAAATGATTCCTGCAACTGATCCAACAAAAAACCCAAGGATCACACCCATTGTTTTCTTTCTGTTTTTGTTATGTTTCTTTGGTGTTTGCATCGGAGATGGAGCCGGAGCCGGAGCTTGGAGATTGTTTGAATCGGAACTTCTGTTTCCAGTTGAATTTGTTGATTCGGCAAAGATATAACGTTTTGGAACACGTTTGTAGTTAGTCTTCTTCAGATCCGGCGATGGAGATTCCACCTTGTTCAACGCCGGTAACGGGCCTTCCAAAAAACTATTGCCGGAGATGTTGAAGAACCGGAGGTTTCGGAATGAACGCAATGAAATCGGTACTTTTCCGGTGAACATGTTATCATCAAGGGAGAGTTTTTCGAGGTTTGGATAATATTTCAAGAAACCCAAGTTGCCGGAAAACTTATTGGAAGAAAGATCGAGGATACGGAGGCGGAGTAGAGAAGATAATTCACCTGGGACTTGGCCGGAAAGTTTATTATTGGGGACTTTCAGAACTTCAAGTTTCCGGCAGTTGGCGATTTGAGGTGGGATACCATCAACAAGGTAATTGTCAGGGAAAGACAGTTCTTTGAGCTCCGATAACTGCCCAATCGCCGGCGAGATAAACCCTTTCAGATTTTGAGCTTTGAGCACAATCCCAGTCACTCTATGGACGTAAGATTCGTTTAAAATCCTCCGCTCACAGAATATTCCGTCGGTGTAGCAGAGATTTTCCGGTCGATGGAGCTCGCCTGAGACACCTAAGTCTTCCAGAATTGTGATGAGGGCATGGCTGTCGGCGGCGTTAAGAGTCAGTTTGGCGTGAACGGAGAGGGTTAGAGTGAAGAAAAGGAATAGTGAGAGGTGGCTGATGGTGGCCATCGGCGGTGTTTATCGGGCGGATTCCGGCATGTAAAAGCTACGGCGGTTGCATTTTTATAGGGAGGCATGGAAAGCTTTAAAATACAATGTATCAAATAGGCGTGTGGAAAATTTTAGAATTCAACATTTCCGGTCAAACTTGTAATCGAGTTTCCAAATTTACCCTTCCCTCAAAATGATTGCATTAATATACAATATTTTTAAGAGTTGTACATTATTTTCAGTTATAAAAGTAATAATCATGAACTAAAAATGGAATTTATTAACTTCAATTTTATACGTAAATAAACACTCTAAATCATTTTTTTAGCGAATACATTTCAAAATTAACATTCAAAGATATGTTTTAAATTAATAACTAAATAAACAAACATCAATTATCAACAATATTTATTTCCTATTCTGAATAATCGTGTCGTTTTTAAGGGAAATTTATTAAACTGTTGACATATAACATATAATATATCTCTTCAAACGTTGCTTTTCAAAATATTTGATTTAAATAAAAACCGAATAAAAATATACTATTTTATGTGCAATTTATGCGAGACAAATAATGTATTTTGAACTTTAGTTCATTGACTTTTGTATATAAATTTTAGACAAATCTACATAAATAGATAAATAGTTCATGTCCTTAACAAAAAATAAAATTCAGTTCCTAATTTTTTGTATTAAGATAGTTAGTGGTTTTAATGATTTAATTTATTGTCCATAAATTTTTTTTTTCATAAGAAAGATTTACATAGACGTAGCAGGTAAACGAGCAACAAGTTGTGCCGCAACCCCTTTTTGGATGACAAAACTAGTTCTTTTAAAAACAACACCTATAGATATTGGAGTCATAACATTACTATGCATGATCCGTTGGACTCTATTGAATAGCTCCACAGCTTCTGGCGCAAGGAAACCGAAAATATCAAATGCAAAGGGTATAAACGTGTGTTGATTTTCCATGTACGCTTTCTCATGTTTTGCCACTTTGCTTGATGCAGCTTTTAAAGCAGCTTGCCCCACAGTGAAAACTCAACTCCCCAAGCCCACAAGAAGGGAAACCCCTGTTAGATCCACGCATGCATGTTTTCCTCCAGTCCATCCAAATATTAAAACATCAGCTGGTCTAAGTGTTGATCTTCCTTCCAATGGGTCAGTCAGAAATTTCTTGTATAGTTGGTTCCTAATCTATATAAAATGATATTTTTATCATTTTAATTCTTTTTTTATTGATTCTTGATAGGAAAAAACCTAATCTTGAAAAGATTGCACAAAAACCCAAACACAAACCTAGATCAAGAATGAAAACCTAAAAGGTCGGAACTTAGAACCACATATTCCACCTCATTTGTCACCATTTGCATATGGTTTGATTTTCATATTGATATGAACAACCAAATATGATGTTGTTCAATTCTACTATGCATATTGTTTTCAATTTATTTGGCACTCATTTCTCAGATCCTTTAAATGTGGGTTTCTATTTATTTATTTAGCCCAAAATTTATGTGTTTGAATATGTTGTTGGTATAGGAAAAATGAGTTCTTGATGTGATTTGATTTATGGAACATATTTGATGTGGTTCAACGGTGATTAAACTCCTACGTTGCAAGGACCCCTAAACTCCTAACCCCCCATACACCTTAATTGAATGTACATACATAGTCATACATACATACATACATAGTTCCTCAGTACAACAAAAATCAATTATCAAATATGGGTTTTTTGGGAAATTGTCTTCAAACCATTTTAAATTGGTATAAAACCATCTTTAAACCTCTATTTTCTACACGCTTAACTGAATATGAGTTTTTTAAAGATAAAATGTTTGGAGCTCGATATTTTAGGATGTTGAAACGATTTATGGGTTAAACCTTAACATGTATATGCATATGTTTTGTTGTGTAAATGATTTTATGGATTGAAATGACTTATGAGGTGTGGAAACAAAACAACACCGATCGTGTATGGATACTCAATAGAGATGAATTAAACACAATGACAAGTTTATTGTTTATATGCACTTATGGTGCCCACTTTTTTTTAATAAGTTATATATAATAAAATATTGTGAACCATCTTAAAAAATATAAATGAACCGCCTTAATATTTTTGGTAATAATATATATATATATATATATATATATATATATATATATATATTTATAGAGAGAGAGAGAGAGAGAGAAAGATAGGTTCATGTATTCTAACTAAGTATTGTATGAATGTATGGTTGGTTGTGGACCAATCAAAATTTAATAGAAAAAACAATAATTAAATAAATAAATAAGGGTAATTAGGTCATTTGATAAATAACTTCCACAAATACTCCCTATAATTTTGCTAGTTACATTGATTTTAACCTAATTTCCCCCCTTTTATATACGACCTACGACTGATGTAGGATCAATCTTCATCACCGGTGTAGGATCAATCTTCATCACTGGTTGAAGACTCCTTCACGCCAACCATCCAATCGGCTACTGACCACCACCATCATCTTTATTGCCGACGACCACAACCATCCCCGTCCTTCCGTTCTTTTATTCTAGAGCATTTTTTTTGTTCATCCACTCTATCGATTCCAACAATCAATTCAAAGAACAATCATCTCTACATCTGATGGGTGTTCTATTACTTGAAAAGAACCAAAAAATCAAATTTATGTGAATATCTTCGGAACCAGAACTGAGAAATAGAGATAGTGATTGATAAATAGCGAGATCGAGCCTAGAGGGGGAGAACAACAAAAAAGATGTCATTTCTGCTGGTACTGTTCATGGGAGAATGAGAGAACAAAATAGATCTGATGCGCAGGGACAAGGTTTGAAAACTCAAACCTTGAGTGAATGCTTAAGATCAATGTCTGCTTGCTAATAAATGTTCTAGTCAAGCCTGGATAGACCAATCAAGTCTAAGTTAATATGTATTCAACAAATAATCAAGTAATAAATGAGGAATGAGAATAAATGATCAAAGTAAAGCTAATAAATGAAGAACAAGAAGAATGTTTGAAAGAGAGTTGAAATAACTTAGTAAATGCTAAAAGTGGATGAATGATCCGTCTCTTAAGATTGCATTGAAAGCTCCTTTAAATAGGAGTGAGTGAAACATGGTACAAACCAATAAACATACATAGGACCAGATAAAAGGAATAATTCTTACATTCTGATTGTCCAAGTTGACAAACATACTAAGTCCTATGAAATGTCTAATCATGCAAAGAGACAAAAGTAATTAATACATAAAGAGACAAAACAGATTCTACGGATCAACACACATTCCGGACATAATGTCCATTCTGGAATGTCTTCACTCCTGAACTTCTTATCATCTTCTCTCCAAGTCTGGACAACTTCCGGACTACTCTTCACTTCGGAACTGATGCTGACTTCAGAATTATCACTTGGACTTAGGATTGCTAGAGGTTCACTTTCAGGTTCCAACAATCTCCCCCTAAGTGAACTTAGCAATCCATTCAGTTATATAGCTTCTTCTTTGATGAAGGTGTAGGCTCTGAACAACCATTCTCTGACTTCAATGTACCAGGCCAGTTGACTTACAAACTTTGCTTTGACCTGTTCCGAAGCTTTAGACTTGGATGCACGAGAAATGAACTTCCGAAGGGCTTTGGTCGGAACTAGGTGTTTTTCAAGGACACGGAAAAAGTCCTTATTGTTTGTCTTCCTGGTTGTGTAGACAAACCCTAGAACCGGGTTATCGATTGGACCATCTTTAAGCAATTCAGCTTCCAGGAGAACAAAGTTGATTTTCGCAACAAAGTCTTCAGTTCCGTATAGGTGGGCCAGCTCATAGTCGCATCTGCAAAACTCCGCGACAAAGTCCTTGAGGAAGCTTAGAGCAACATGGAAAGCACCCATGATGATATCATTGTTTTGCATTCCTCGGAAGTGAGCAGCCAAAGTAAGAATGTCATTCGGATTCATCGAGGGGAAATCCGCATCAGTGATTGTTAGATGCATTTCATGCATCCATTTTGTAGTTTTACTCCATAAAAGTGCATTGAATTTAGGTTTAAACTCATGCATGTTGCATATTTTTCGGGATTTTTCATGATGCAATTCCATTCACACGCTTTTCTGATATTTCAGGGACTTTTGGAGGTAGGATCTTAGTTGAGGTGATGAATAAGAGATATGGATGAAGTTTCGGGACTTGTGGAGCATCGAGGAGGAAGATATCAAGAAAATGAAGATTTTAGCTTTACCGAGATTTACACGGCTGTGTAAATGCAAGCCTTGTGTTTACACGGGCCGTGTAAACGCATACTCATGAGCAGTGTACTTCGAAGACCTGGCCAAATTGAGAAATATACTTTTTGTGTTTACACGGCCGTGTAAATAGGAGGCGATTTTGGGATCATTTTTGAAGACAATTGTTGCTTGAAAACATTTGGATTTCACTTGGATTTTAATTTGTAAGACTTTAACTTCAATTTCTAGGTTTGTGCTTGTTCTAGTCATAAGTGGCTAGAAACCTAACTCTCCAACTTCATGTATTGACAATTGTGTGTGCGAATTCAATCATTTGACTTGGTGTTTGTTTTAAATGCTATCTAGTGAATTTGATTTTGTTTTAATTGAAGGTTTGATTTCAATTCTAGTTCTTTTTGGCCAATTGAGTTAGAGTTAAATCACTCATGTTATCTATTATACAAAATCCGTAATTGTTTTGTAAAATAGAAAAAGTAACAAGTATTAAATCATACTGCTTGCAATGATTCTAGTACAAATCAAATTCACACATTCTAACACTCCCAAGCTTATGAGGAGTATTGAATGTTGTTGGTAAAATTCACATAAAGCATAATGCAATCTTTCACCTATTTTAAGAACTTGTTTAGATTAGGTTAGTTAGATTAGAATTAATTAAAGAGCTTATTTTAATTAATTAAAATGGTGAATGTGAATTGCTAGAGCTTATTAGCATTTCTAATACCAACTTAGATGGAATTAAACAAATATCATTTCATATTTTGAAT